ATTAGCTTATTCTGTGTTAAATCTCACTTTTCTCTTGTTTCATTTCCACGTGTACTTGTGAAATAATGTATTGGTAAACGCAGGAAAGAGAAATATCAAGCGCATGGTAACATGATGCAAGGCAGAGGAACTACAGAATGGAGAAACCTGAAGAAGATGCACAAAAATAAAATTTTTAATTTTTGTATCATCAGAGGCAAATTGCCAAAAATTTATGTAATCCACCCTTAATGAAAGAGATCTACACCTGCCAAATGAATGAAGTAACTTGTCGATTTCTGTTGTGATGCCATCAACGGTGTTGACAAGCTTAGAAGTTCTAATTAAGATTTGCCTAAGAATGAATTTCAAAGTCATCAACCATAGATCTATGCAACAATTCAAATCTCCATGAAAGACAACTTACATATCTGGACACCACAGACCGAAGTTCATAGATTATAAATTAGCAATAACATATAATGTATAAATGATAATCAGGCGTAGTCGCACTTTATTAACCCAACCAGTAATGTAATCTATAATAACAACTTCTTGCACTAGTTGACAACTAATCACGAGATAGACACTTGATGATTCATGGTTTTAACTACATCAACGATATTCCACCAAATGCCACAAAACCACTTACATAATGAATTGCTAGAAATTTGTCAATGCGCTACACTCACGATCACCTAGTCATGCAGCAACAAGGTACCGCAGAGGATAAATTATACAATCCTTTGTCATCTTTTCATCAGCAATAATAATAAAAAGGAGGTCTTTTTTTTCCTTTCTTAATCTCTCCTTGTAATATAAATCAGCAACAACTCATGAGGGTAATTTAACTAACATCTCGATTGAATTAAATATATCAGAGGGGGCAGATCCTCAATATATCGACTTTAATGGATTTTTGTTTTTCGAACCAGGAAAAAGAGTTGATGATGGAATAATACGCTTATCCATAGCAGGAAAGGCTTAACAGATTTAAATTTGATGGGTTGAACTCATACTAACAAAGTACATTCTTTTCTAGCACCCAGTCCACAAAAGTTCCAACATTATGCATTATTGCTTTTGAGAAACTCTCAAGAAGCGCTTAAGTGAGTGACTGAGTGAGTGAGAATAAAGCACATTCAAAAGAGTCATGTTGGTACTGTGGGGAACACAAAGTGTGGAGGAAGAGTGAGTGAGTGTGTGAGAATAAAGCACATTGAAAAGTCATGTTGGTATTGTGGGGAACACAACTAAGTGTGGAGGAAGAATGGAATTGGGGTGAAAACTAATCTTCAATGTTTATGGAATCTAGTTCTTTTTGGGTGATAGTGACGTGGCAGGAGAATAGCAATTCATATATAGACCCGATGTTGTTGAAATATCGTGAAATCTTAACACTTGGCTAGTTGGCACATTTTAATGTTCCCACAATGGGTGGGCGAGCAATTTCGTACATTTGGAATGTATGCAACAATGCAAAGTTTTGGGCACAAGATTAATAAATTCACATATTTATGGAGATTTTGGAGGGACAAATTAAATTGATTATAGAATTAATTTCCATTGCATATTTTATATTTATTTGATTAGTGGATTAGAGATTTCTTTTCTAGTGAATTTCTATTGAAGTTGTGAGAAACTTGGTTTTACGAGGAGGATGAGAATAGCTTTGAAAATACATGAATTTAGGGAATGATAAAGTATGAACTATAATTATGATGGTTGTTAGTAAAAAGATATAACTATCATTCCACTGATGGAGGTTGATTTATGATATATAAAAGGTAAAAACAATAGTTATCTATCATACCTCATACATGGAGTTTTCACACCTTTTAGAACATTCACAATGCTTTGATTTTTTTTTAAAAAAAAAAAAACAAAAAAAATTATATGCCACATAAAAAACAAACCCAATAAAGTGGACATAAAGTGGACATGTTAGCTGATGTGGCAGTAAAAGGAGACTCATTTTAATCACAAGTCTACTTTTAGACATAAGCCTACCTGAGACCTCTGACCCTGAGATCCAATCTCTTTGATTGGAATGATTTTAATTCTTTACTTAGTACTATCTATGTCATCCAAAACTTAAGTCCAACTATATAAAGCAAATACTCTTAGTATATCAAAAGATTCAAAACCCTAACAAACCACCTATTTTTTCATTCGTCCCTCCAATAGTTGCCTATCGAGCATTTCCTTAGTTTCTTTTAAGTGATTGTGAGATTTGAAAGAGATGAAGGACAAAGATAACTCACGGCATCGCCACTTTGTTCTTTTCTTTTTATTCCTAAGTTTCTGCAACTCGCCAATTTCAGCTTTTTTGTCAACGCATGCATAATCCAATTTTTCATGTTCTTGCCCCCAACAACTTACATCGCCATCGCCTCTTGAAGAATACTTTTGCCAAGAAAATTATTTAATAATTTTCTTCACCAAAATTTAGTTTTTACATATATCATTAAAAAATTTTATTATTTATATTTCTTTGTATAAGTTAGTGACATTCAAACGATGTACAATATATAAGAACTTAGAACCTTAATCTTTTGGTCCACGATAAATATATAATTTGCACATTCTACAAGTAGTAATCTGTAACTTTTGAGTAGAGAGTTTTAGAACTTGCCACACTAAATATAGAAAAGACTATTAATGCATGGAAACAAAACTGACTAGTTCATATCACTACCATATATCTTATACAAAGTACAGTGGGTTCACATTTCAAATTAAACCTCGTTATGCCCAAGGGTGACCATAATTCGAGTAATCTATAACTTTTGAGTAGAGAGTTTTAGAACTTGCCACACTAAGTATAGAAAAGACTTAATGCATGGAAACAGAACTGACTAGCTCATATCACTACCATATATCTTATACAGAGTACAATAGGTTTCACATTTCAAATTAATCCTCGTATTTCAATTTGGATTTGTAACCAGGTTCATATTTCAAAATTAATCTTCATATTTCAAATTGGATTTGTGACCAGCTTATTTGATTATTGAGCTCAAAGAAAAAATTAAACTAAATCTTGATTTCTAAAATAGGTACATGTAGCAAAATAATAATAAAAAAAATAAAATAAAAGGAAATTAAAAAGAAAAAGAAAGGCAAATAGTACAGTACTATCTGATACATAATAAATACTAATTCATAAGAAATGTTAATTTCCATCATTGAGAAAGCTGAAAGAAAAGTTGTTCTTCAAATTAATGCAATTGCAGGAAAACAGGGTTACAATACTTCACACTCCAGCTGCTATGTTTCTACCATGCTATATATAGTCTTAGCTCCGTATAATCTCAGCCACACATTTCAAACATCACTCTCAGATTAATGACACGTGAAACTAAAAGAAAACAAAAGATCTCAACAGAAAATGTACTAGTCAAATGTGCTGGATTTGCATGTGCTTGCATGTCAGCTCGTCTTTTCTATGCAAGTGATTATGTGAAAATGTTGACCATGTTGTCCATGCTATTTCTATTATTTGTACATGCACAAGATTGACGGTAATTCGAGTAATCTTTAATCTTTTGAGTAGAATGTTTTAAAATTTGTCACGTTCAAAGATAGTAATGATCATGGAACCATTAATAGAAATAGCATGGTCAACATTGCTTCATCAACTGTTCCACATCATCACTTGCATTTTATGCAGAAAGACGAGCTGACATGCAAGCACATGCAATGTCAAATGACAGCACATTTGACTAGTACATTTTCTGTTGAGAACTTTTGTTTTCTTTAGTTTCACGTGTCATTAATCTGAGAGTGATGTTTGAAATGTGTGGCTGAGATTATATAGAGCTACGACTATATATAGCATGGTAGAACATAGCAGCTAGAGTGTGAAGTATTGTAACCCAATTTTCCTGCAATTGCATTAATTTGAAGAACAGCTTTTCTTTCAGCTTTCTCAATGATGGAAATTAACATTTCCTATTAACCATGAAGCAAGCTTGAATTAGTATTTATTATGTATCGGATAGTACTGTACTTTTTGGCATTCTTGTTCTTTTTAATTTCCTCAACTTGCTTGGAATTAAAAGGCTATGTTGTTGTTGTTGCATTTATTTATTTATTTATTATTATTATTATTATTTTGCTACATGTACCTATTTTAGAAATCAAGATTTAGTTTAATTTTTGCTTTGAGCTCAATAATCAAATAAGCTGGTCACAAATCCAATTTGAAATATGAAGATTAATTTTGAAATATGAACCTGGTTACAAATCCAATTTGAAATACGAGAATTAATTTGAAATGTGAACATATTGTACTCTGTATACTATATATGGTAGTGATATGAATTAGTCAGTTTTGTTTCCATGCATTGTCTTTTCTATACTTAGTGTGGCAAGTTCTAAAACTCTATACTCAAAAGTTATAGATTACTCGAATTGTGGTCATCCTTTGGCATAACGAGGTTTAATTTGAAATGTGAACCCACTGTGTATAAGATATATCATATATGGTAGTGATATGAACTAGTTAGTTTTGTTTCCATGCATTAATAGTCTTTTCTATACTTAGTGTGGCAAGTTCTAAAAGTCTCTACTCAAAAGTTACGGCTTACTCGAATTATACAAAAGATAAATATACGAACTTATATGCCACTTTAGAAGAGAGACATCAAATCGAGGTCGGTGACTCACATGAGCTTTATTTAAAGACAAAGTTAAATTGTTATATTATTTAAAAGTACAATTGGGGCACTTAATAGCATTTCAGTCAACCAAATCCCATCTTTGTTAAAGATGAAACTACTTTTCTATTTTTTATTCTAATTTAGTTCATTTCCGTTCCTTACTTTCTTTTAACTTTCTCATTGATACCAAGGATGAATTATTATTTGAGCTCACTAGATCAAGAACAGTTCCTCACTTATCTTCTGAATTATGGATCAATTTAAAAGTGTGATGTCTAATGCAAAGACACAAAATTTTATGGTAACTAAGTCGAAACTCAATAATTTTAGAACTATTAATGCCAAGTACACAAAATTTATTAACAAAGCCACTCAATCACAGTGCACACAGTTATTCAATCAATCTTTAACCTAGATGAGCATATACTTCTTTAATCACAACCATCCATCGTTCTTATTTGAGTCACTGACCCAAACACAATCATTAGGACAGCCCTAAGAGCCATCAAGTAAAAATAAGAACACGTCTGAATCCAAAATATGAACTCAACTACACTCACTGTAGTAGCCTATATTTACCATTTTAAAGCACCAAGAGTGTAAGGAGCACAATAACCATTCATCAACAAAGACAACAAAAAAAATTTGATAGAAAAGAATTAGAGAGATCATTCTGTTTTTTATTATTTGATATGAAGCTCTCATCACTTTCACAAAGTACAGAAAGCCTGAGATTAAAAAGTGGGTTTACCACACAGCCTCAAATGTCTGGACCAAACTAAAGGCATACATTTCAGAGTAGCACTTAACAAAGATAAAGGCTACTAGCCAATGAACAAACCTGATAAACATGCAGAAATTCTCCACATACATTATCCTGCAGTACAATTGATTACCTGCAGGGAAGAAGTAAACCAAAATAAACATATAGTTATTGTCACATGCATACCATCATCCACAGAAGACAATATATAGTGTACATGTACTGAAAAATCCGGTTTCTATGTCCTTTTCATTTTCTCTATGGATGGGGTCTATAGGGCACTAAAGAATTCATCAGACGTTTTAAAAAGAGAATTCAATCAATTGCATTGAGCTTATCAAATTAATGGTACTCCGCAAGGAGAAGCTCGTTTGAACATTGGCATCATAATAAATCAACAATCAACGAATAGGGAACTGGAAGTTATTCAACTAGGGAAAAGATAACCACCAAGAGAGTGAAACCAAGTGCTTCAAATGCCACATAATAACCTAGGATTGTCACTATCAAGCTATTATAAGAGGACTAAGGAGATTGCATAAAATATTTGCACGTGCAAATCATTCTGTCATACGATCATGGATAGACACCAAACGACATAACTTTGCATGACAAGCATCACTGGAGTCCTAAATATGTTTGGAGGATGATATATGTTTATCATAGGATTCAATTAGGGACAAGCAATAGATAGAGAATCAGGAGTATATATAGCATATGACCCCTGTATGCAATATTGATGAAACGAATGAGGCTTGCATTTTTAGATAAACTTCCATGTAAAATTTTTCAGGATGGAGGATATGACAGCTGCTACAGAAGGATTTCAGTCTGCCCCATTTTCCACCATTGATAACAATCATAACATTGACTTATCATGTGTCACTTAAAATGACACTTCAATTTTTATGTTTGAAGTTGCACTATTCCTTTCCCTCACCAAAATCTAAAGGGCAAACATAGAAGTCCGTGAGTGTTGAATTACAGATGAAAACCAGAAATTTGGATAAACATATTTATTCAAAATATTTCCCACACAGTCCATGCAAAGAGGACGACCGTTTTAAACAACTCACATGCACAAGAGCAAACATTTCACCAACTAAACAACAACTACTAAAAAAGTGCAAAACAAAGGAAAGCGCACAGTCCAAGAAACACAACTTACTATGAAAGGAAAAATAACAGAAAATAACCGACATAGGCTGAAATATAAAACCAACAGAAAAGGAGCAATTCCAATCAATCTGCAACTAGCTCGGAAGGTGAATAGGATAAGGAGAAATTCAACATACGCGCAAACACTACCGGTTGTTCTGGCTGCAAAATCATACAGATTTATATGTTTTCGCTTCACGACATAACTGTGGGAAATCAAGGGTGGTAACCATTTCCAAATTACAGAAAGTATAATTTTCATCTCTAAAGCCAATCCGCACTCTAAGACGCAATAACACAACTGAGACAGGCTGCTACTCACATAATGAAATGATTAAATATAAAAAGCTCAGCAGAACTCAAATCTTTCAATCACATCAACTCAAAATTAGACTAAAGGAAATCGAGAGAGAGAGAGAGAGAGGACCTCAAATTTATTCCCAACCGTGGATCCCCCCTTCACTCAGCAGGCGTCTCCACCACCTTAGGCCCTGAAAACAATTCTCGGAATAAAAAAAATCAAAATGATATATAGATCTCAAAACACACCGGCGAGGAGAGAACGAGAGCAAAAACCAACCGTGGAGGGCGTGGGGGCGGTGGTCCTTGCCCCAGCCGACGCCGCGGGTGGCGTCGAGGTAGCGATGGACGAGGTGGCGGCACTTCTGGAGGTGGTTGACCCCCTCGATGCGGTAGCACATGCGGACCTTCTCCCTCAGGATCTTGGCCTTCTCGATGTCGATCCACTTCTCCCTGACGAGGTGCTCCCGCATCTCGAGCATGGCCACCGGGTCCTTGTACGGGTTCTCCGGATCGAAGTCGTCCGGCGGCCCGTCGTGCACCAGATGCACTCCCTTTTTCCGACCCATTTTTTTTTTTCCTGTTTCAACACAGAGAATCGATTGCCGAGTGAGCTTATTTGCTGTTGAGGAGGAGACTAACGGATCAGCAGCTCTATGTGGGCTTTTATTGTATGTAAACGGGTTAGTAATTGTTGTGGGTCGTGTGTTGTCAAGAAGAGATCCATATGATCACTCTGTGTCATCCATTTCTAAAATTAGTGTGGCCGAGTGCTTGTTGGCTTTTACCCTCCCACGATATCACAAATCACTAGTTGTTTACCGGCTGTGCACGCACAGCCGGCCGATATCCAGTCGTTACATTTATTCATTTATGGGTAGAAAATTTGTGTAGTATTTAAATTATCATTTTAATTGTTATGAAATTTGTTGAAATGAAGCAGAGTATTTTATAAGGGATGGTTACATGCAAATGAAATAAAATTTTGAATGCTGAAACGTAATTTACGTTCTGAATGGCAATATTTATGTTTGTAATATGTAATAGTGCAGAAGTGGATAGAGTTTCATATTCTTTAGTTTGAGAATGTTGGTGTTTTATATGGCTATTTCTATATTGTTGTAATGATCGTCTTATTTTTGACATTTGTGTTATGTATCTTAGTTGGTAAATAGTTTTTGTCTATTTTATCGAATCTATAGCCGGTTTATTAGACTTAAATAATTTGTGATTCGAATGATATAAATGTTTTTGGATCATACTTGTTACAGTTTGATTTGTTTGGTAACTAAATGTTCTAACAGTAGTTTTATGCTAATTTTGACTTTTTTTGTTCGATTTGTTTGGTAACTAAATGTTCTAACAGTAGTTATGCTAATTTTGACTTTTTTTGTTCCTAGATTGTGTTTAAAATTATTAAAAATCAAGAGAAGTCATTATAAGCTTGTAATTGTTAATACCTTATGCAAATATATAATAAATTATTTTTAAGTTAATTTGGACAAAAAATATTACTGTATAGGTTTCTAATTATTGTTTCACAAATAATATAGTTTGTGTAATTTGTGTCGGATATGACACATTTTTTTTAATCATCAAAATATGAGCATGCACATTAAGCAAAAGAAATCAACCATATTTCATTAATACAAGTTGGGCAAGCAAAGGATATAACAAAACGCCATCCAAATACATATTTTATGGCCAAAAGATGTAGTACATTCTAGTACAACTCTAATATTGTGGCATTCTGAGTTGTATCCAGTAGTCTAGAATGTTCACAAAAGCAGTTTCAGATGTACATCTATCAGAGAGGTACATATATAGTTCAAAAGAGAGACGTCATAGCGGCGCACAAAACATAAATCACCATACGACATTAGCGCGGCCTAATCAAAAGTATGTACATCTACAGCCACAACAGGTGCGGCTAGGTGCGAGGTTTTTTCATTGGACTGGAGGGTGCCGCTGAAGTGGTTGCACTATCATCATTGATGTATGATGCATCTTCATCAACTATGTTTGGTGGAGGATTGGAAAATGAAGCTGCACTTATGTTTCCAAATTTCAAGGCACGCGCTGTTGGTGGTTTAATGGCATCTTGTATAGCTGTGTTCATAGTAGCGCTTTCAATTTCTTCGAGACAAGCCTTAGTGCTTGGTGTGAATAGTTGTACATCAGAAGCACCCTATTGTTAAGTAAAAAAAAATTTAGCATCAGTTAATTTCATGTACAACCAATGTTGTGATTGACATTTATTAAATATTACTATTAATCTTTGAACCGTACATTTACCTGTTCAGCTACTTGCTCAGCTACCTGTTCAGCTATCTGCTCAACTACTTGTTCATCAGAATCCTCAACCTCATCCTCATCCAAGTTGCCTTCAATTTCATCCATGTAGAGCTTTACACTTGAGTAGTTTGTGGCGTTTGTTTGGTATAACCTCACATAGCACACAACATTGTGGTTCTTAATTCTTTGCTGAATCGTTTCCAGAAGGTTAAGTCCCTGTGTAGAAAAAATGTAATGTACACTTAGTATTTGAAGACTATGTTAAAATGCATAGGGAGTGAAGTAAGCATACCACTGTTATTTATTTTATTTAATTTTTTAATTTGCATAAACAATTTAAGTTAAAAGAAATATGTACCCAATACCTGGTTCTCAGCATCTTTCAAGTGAGCTGCAGTATGTCCACAAAGCTCTTCGGCATCTTCTCCATATACAACTATTGCAATTGTGTCTGTTTCATCTTCAATGTCGATGGGAATTCTTGCCCTAATGTTAGTTTAGATGTTAAATGATGGCATTTTTTTTTTCTTTTGTACATTACATGGGCTATTGCTTTAACGGTGCAGGTTAATTTAAACTACCTTGCCACAATTTCACTGTGTTGGTTGCACGCACTGCACATTATATCAGAACCTATGTCCAGGTCAAATTTTTTTTGACAGTTTGCGCAACAGGTGAACCAAAGGGACTGGTTGTCGAAGCCTAAATTCATGCGCCCTTTAATCCATGCAGCTTTCACCTTTAATATAGAAGTAGGCACCATGAGTAATGTATAGCACTATGTCAAAACTATTTAAGCTATTTACTTGAAGATGTGGAACTTACATTGTTACCAGGATTGAAGAACGACTTAATACTAATTACATTGTCTGGAGGTGGCCTTGGAAGCAATGTACTCATGTTTTTGTATGCTTTAGCTGCAATGAGGTCTGCAATCTCCAATCTTTTTTCTATGTACCTGTGTAAAAGAGTGCATGGAACATGTTATTTTATTTTATTTTTCTAGTAAATGTAGGATTTAATTCTACCACTGCTTGAGTTGATTAGCCTCAGTTGTTGGTGGATTTATGAGTACTGAGCTTGGTTGCACGGTGGCGAGAGAAATTCCTGTGAAAAGTTCCAACTGTAAGCGTGACTTTCTCGCCAAATAGACACAACAAAAGAATGAATAAGTAAAGATAAAGGTACCATGAAATGTAGTCACCCTAACCCGCATTGCAATGAACACATTTCCTGCATTGATACCTTTTGCTAGCTCTGCACCTTCGGCCGTAGCAAACTCATTCCAGAGCGTGAAAATAATGGGCATGTTCCTAATTTTTCCATAGGTTTGCGTGAATATGTATTTTTTTTGAGTAAATGGATTACCGAAAAAACACAGGTTTTACTCACTCCGTATTCATAACAACAATTTCTCTTGCGATTGAATCGAAGCTTTTTTGTCTGGACTCAAATGCATGAACAACCACTCCCAGAACATCTGTAAATAAATGTTTCATTTTGGCAAACATAACGACAGACATGAGGGTGAACATGTTCCAAAATAAAGCATTGAACATAAAACTAAAGATGAGGAAATATACATAATTGGAGAGTTGGTTAACCATTCCAAAAAACAAGAAGTAGATAAGTATATAGTTGAATATACATTGTAAGGTCACAAAATTAACAAATGTATATACAATTGAAAAGCAGAATTTAAGTGCATTCATAATTACAGATGCAGCGGGCACTATACAAAAATTGAGCAGGTTAACTGGTAGCAACTTAATTGTACTACAATTTTTTGTTTTAAAACAAAAAGTTGGTACTTAATTTACTGGAAACATAGAGTGACATGAATAATGTGTTCAAATTGTGCAAGCATAGTGTGTAGTATAATAGCAGCCTTACTCTGTAAGTTGTCACTGTCGGCATATCTGTGTAAGTTTGCAAATCTTTCAGTGTCAATAGTGCAGTAGAGTTGTGTTGGGATAGTGTCCTCACAGGGCTGAATGAGAGTGTTGTTGTTTATGGTCCAGGAAAAATCATAAGGGCCGACCCTATATTTTTCTTCAACTACCTTCAAACTGGCTCCAGACAAACGATATGTCTTGTATGGAATCAAGAGCCTAGCATTTGCCCTGATGTTATTGTTGTAAGCCACAACAGACACCTTTGTGCCCTGTTGTAAAACAGAAAATTGTGGTTTTGTCAATCGAATTTAAAAGTCAGATAACTTTATATTAAATTAAAACGTAAGTGAAAGGATGAATTTGAATGTGTAAACCGACCTCTTTATCGGCCAAAAGGAACGTGCGATATGACAGTCCTGAATCCTTTTGGCTTTTACGTATGTGACCTCGTTCAATGACTTGCACGACCACTGTCCAACCTTTAGTCTGCGGCTGAACTTCTTTGATGGTTATAATGTTCCTCATTTTCTGCCAGTCAATCACGGAAGTTGTAGTTTGTTAGGAACATGAGGAAAAATATAACATTTGCAACGTGAAAGAACATATACTTGATCTGTTAACTCCAAAACAATATAAAGTTGTTGGTACAGCGAAACTAAATAAGCAAATATGTCAATTTAATGAGAAGCAGCGATAGAATTTTTATTTATTTGGTAATATAATATAGAATAGTAGCATTAAGTATGCTTGAAAGGTAAATGAATGTAACGGTTGAACTTTAAAGCACATAAACGGCCAAGTATAGCAGAACATAGAAACTCATATTTCCAACCAAACAACACACATGCTTAAAGGTTTGACCACGGAATGACGCATGCACGCCTAGGCGTAAAACTGCAACAAATGACCATGACCAACCAAAACAATAGAACTAAGTGTCTAATGTCCAAACACACCAAAAACTGAACAGAAAAGAAATAAAGCATAAAATGCTCAGGAAAAAACCCAAAAGCAAATAACTCACAAGCACCAGAAGAGAAGCAAGAACTCGCGCACCCCACCGCAGTAAAAGCGAATTGAGCTGCAACCAAAAACAANGACGAAACAATTGAGAGAATTTTTGAAAACACACACAATCACAATGGGCCATTGAACTGCCACAAAATATAGAACTAATACATTATTCTTAATCCTTAACACAGCAGGACAAAAGTTGTTTTAGCCTAACAATTTGACTATCTATTCAACCAACATACAAATTTTAAGAACAACAAAATGTAAACATCAAGAATTTCAGAATAAGAAAAGATGTGAATTACACTCTGAATAGGTTTACAGTATGATGTTTTTCGTGTTTTAAGGAGTAGGTTTTCAATATTTTTTACAACCCAAAATGTTATTTAGTCTTCACTGCAAAATAATATTCATAATAGCAGACGTACGAACTCAATCCACCAAACCTAGATTTTTTTACTTGCGCAAATATGACTGAGGTGAGGCGTTTAGATTTTGCGTACCTTAGATGGAGAAAATCTTGTCAGATTATGCGTACATCGTGGACCTACAAAGTCTGAGCCTAACGTTGTTGTAGGGTGTGGTGTGAAACCTGAATTTAAGCAATTATGTTGACCTCTCGAAGGTGTTCGGCATGGGCGGGATTGTTGTCCCATGAATTTAGGAGATTTGGTAGGCCCTTGCACGTATTTCAATGTTACAGGCATGTCTAGACTATAGATGTATGTTGTAAGATTGAGGCGAAAATGGACCCGTAGAAGCTTGATAGAAATTTTAATTACATCAAAATGTGCAATGAGTATTAAATATTTATTGGGCCGACCCTATTCAGCCTCTAAACTATTGGGTTCATCAAAATACTATTGAAATTTAATTTTTCGGCTGGGCCTGAACTCTAACCTGAATTGATTTAATATCATTGTTGAATGGGCGAATGTGTTTTTTCTAAAAGTCGTAGTAGTTTGGTAAAATTGTAGAACAATTTCAGAAGAACATTGTATGTGTAATGTCTTCCTTACACACACGTTTAAACGTGAATTTTTTTTTGAGTCAGTCCAAAGATTATAAGCTGAGGTCATTCGATGTGAGTCTTCTTCAGTGTGAATACATATTGGTAATGTTGGTGGCTTGGAGTTGTGGCAGCAGAATTTTGAGTTGTTCAAAATTAATCGTCCGAAGTGTCGATTGTTAGATCTATTTTACGAATGCATTTGTTTTTTAAACAAACTTAGAAGGGGAAGTTTATAATATGTAGAAGAGAATGAAAATATAAATCATCATTTGTGCAAAATTTATTTTTAAGATGTGTCTTACATTCTGTTATTCTTTTGTGTAGTAAAAAAAATTTCCAATTAGTCGTACATTGGCACAGAAATTAATAATAAATATATGTAACCAATAACCATTTTTTAATGGTAAATTGTCGAAGTAGTTTTTATAAACTGTCTAAACATTGTATGAATAAACAAATTTGTTAATATATGATTTGTACTAATATTTATATAACTGCATTGGTCATTTTTAAATTGCGTTTTTTGTTGTGTTTGAAATTCCACATATTATATATAATTTTCGTAATCTATTGAAGGTTTTTCTTTGTACTGTTTTATGATGATAACACGGTAAATATTCACAATTAGCAAAAGACAGCAACAATATTTCATTAACAAAGCATGAACAAGCACGGGACATTACAAAACGCCATCTAAATACTATGTTGATGGCTAAAAGACCTTAGACATTCCAGTACAACTCTAACACCGTGGTAGATAAGTTGTAGCAACTAAGCTAGAATGTCTTCAAAGGTAGGCAAAAAGGGAAAGCTAATGATACCGTCCTTAGAAGTTGTTGGAAATGTAGTTCAAAATAGATACTTCAAAGCACACGAAATATAGACGACCATACGACATCAGCGTGGCCTAATCAAAAGTATGTACAGAGTTCCATAGACACAACAGGTGTGCCTAGGTGCGAGGTTTTTTCATTGGACTGGACGGTGCCGCTGAAGTGCTGGCACAACCATCATCGTTGTAGAATGCATCTTCACCGGGTGTGTTAGCTGGAGGATTGGAAGATGAACTCGCATTGTTGTCTCCAAATATCAGGACGCGTGCTGTGGTTGATTTAATGGGCATTGGTGTGCCTGTGTTCATGGTGCCTTTTTCAATCTCTTCTAGGCAAGCTTTAGTACTTGGTGTAAAAAACTGAACATCAGGCTCACCCTGCTGTTAATTTAGATTTCATTTTGTTAGTTAATTTGATATAATCATAATGGTGTACAGTACATCAGGCAAACATGAGTACTAACATTTGGACATAGAAATTACCTGTTCAGTAGAATCCTCAACTTCATCCTCATCCAAAAGACCCTCAATTTCGTCCATGTATAGTTTCACAATGGAGTAGTTTGTTCCGTTTGTTTGGTAAAACCTCACATAGCACACAACATGGTGTCCCTTAATTCTTCTACCAATTGTTTTGAGTAAGCTCACACCCTATGCAAAAGTAATGTAATGTAGACTTAGTATTTGCATATTATTTTAAACTGCACAGATAATGAACCAAAGAGATTACAGTTAGTGTGTGTGTGTTTTTTCTTTTTTTTTTTTTTTAGTGTACAAATTTGCCATCAAAAGTAACATGAAATGAAGACCTCATCCTCAGCATCCTTTAAGGCAGCTGCAGTACGTCCAACAAGTTGTTCAGCATCTTTTCCATACACAACTGCTGCAATTGTGTCCGTCTCATCTTCAATGTAAATTGGAATTCTTGCCCTATTGTCAGTTGTAGAAGTTAAAAGACACAATTTTTTATGGTATATAATAGACATATTTATTTTCATAAGGTTAAGTATGATTAAGAGTACCTAGCCACAATTTGGCTACATTGGTTGCACGCACTGCATCTGATATCAGAACCTACTTGAAGGTCGAATTTCTTTTGACAATTTGCACAACAGGCAAACCAAAGTGATTGGCTAACAGAGCCTAAAATTATTCGGCCTTTAATCCATGCAGCTTTGACCTGTAAAATTGTATTTCCATTGTGTATAATTATTATTGTGTAGAATTATGTTCAACCTATTTCTAATATTTACTTGAATATATGTTACTTACATTGTTACCAGGATTTAAGAAAGACTCAATACTAATTATGTTGTCCAGAGGAGGCCTTGGAAGCAAGGCAGCAATGTTCCTGTATGCTTTAGTTGCAATGAGATTTGCAATATCCATTCTATTTTGTATGTACCTGCATGAAATGGTGCATATGTGAAGGCAACAAATTAGCAATTTTTTTTTAACAAACCTCGAGTGTTTAATTGTACCACTGCTTCAGTTCATTAGCCTCAGGTGTCGGGGGATTAATGAGTATCGCGCTAGGCTGTTTTGTGGCTAGAGAAATGCCTAACAAAAGTTGCAATTGTGAGAATTGTGTATTGTAAAACACTCACAACAAAAGAATTAATAAGCAAACATAAAGGTACCATAAAATGTTGACACTTTAACTTGCATCGCGATGATTACATTGCCTGCATTGATATTATTCGCTAGTTGTGCACCCTCAGTTGTAGCAAACTCGTCCCACAGTGTTAGAATCATAGGCATGTTCCTAGTGTTTATGAAACATATGTAAATCTCTATGGGTTTTTTTTTTTTTTTTTCANTTTTTAAAAAAAAAAAGTATTACTCACTCAGTATTCATCACAATGATATCTCTATTGACTGAATCGAAGCCCTTCTTTTTTGATTCAAACGCATGAACTACAACTCCCAGTACATCTGTAAATCAATATTTTATTTTCGTAAATACAACGACAAACACGATTGTTAATATGTACTGAAATAAGAATCCCCTTCTCGGCTTAACATCATAATACCAAAGAAACACAAGAGTAGATCTAATATATTAAAATGTAGCTGTAGGTAAGAAGACGATTGGATATAGATTTCTATGTTGCACAATTAAGAAATGTATATACAATTAAACATCATTATTTAAGTATATTTATGTTTATAGATGTGACCTGTATCCCCTAAATAGTGCAGTTAAATCAGTATGAACTTCTAAATAGTGCAGTTAAATCAATATGAACTTTATTTTAACATAGCAGCATAAATTAGACTGATATAAAGGTCAAGTGTATTCAATGTAAATCAAGAACGAGATAAATAATTAGCTAAAATGTAGGGAGCATAAAAGGTGGTATAATAACAGGCTTACTTTGTAACTTGTCGGTGTCAGCATAATGTTCCAAGTCTGCAAAGCTTTTGGTGTCAATAGTGCAGTAGAGTTGTGAAGGGATAGTGTCCTCACATGGTTGAATCAGGGTATTCTTGTTGATGGTCCAGGAGAAGTCATAAGGACCTACCCTATATTTATCTTCCGCTATCTTCAAAGTGGCACCAGACAATCGATACGTCTTGTATGGAATCAAAAGGTGAGCGTTTGCCCTGATGTTGTTGTTGTAGGCAATAGCTGAAACCTTTGTGCCCTTTTGTACAAAAATAAATATAGTTGTTGTTAACTGAATTGAAGGGTCTACACTTTGACATTTACATATTAATAAATGGTGAAAAGGCTGAATTTTTAGCGCATCAATTAACCTCGGCATCCGCAAGAAGAAATCTGCGATATGTTACTGCTGAGTCCTTTTGGCTTACAAGTATGTGACTGCGAAAAACTACCTGTACAACAACTGTCCACCCCTTAGTGTGCGGCTTAACTTCTTGGATTGTTATAATGTTCCTCATTTTCAGGTACTCTGCTACAGGAGTAATAGCATGTTCTTAATATTAGTGCAGATAAAATAATAGACATTGGGAAGAGGTTAAACTTCGCAATTGAACTTTAAAGCAGTAAAAAGTAATTGATTGTTTTAGACCAAGAATCATGTTTAGTAAGTAAATTAGAAGGTGCTACATTATGTTTATTAATCTATTGATGTATTTTGCCATACTGGACACAATAAAAATTGGCAAATATAGCAGGCAGGATGATTTAAGCTAAGTAAACAAACAAGACAAGGAAAATGTACAGATTTATAGGCTCAATAAGAATGAAATATGACCTGCATTAAACACAAACAAACAGAATAAACAGGTAGCACATTTATTTTCTTCAGATTTGAATCCAACACCCACTGAGTTTGTTTCAAGAGAATAACATTACTATCTATATAAACAACAACATAAGTTATTGAAGCAGTAAATGCAAATGTTAAAAGGATGAGAATAAAAGAAGATTTGGATTACCAGTTGAACAGGTTTTGAGTGCAATGGTTTTTGGTGCTCTGACAAGTAGATTTTCAATGATTTTATAAGAAGATAAAAATGATTTGGGGTTGGCTATGTAAAAAAAAAACTAAAAATCAAAACATAGGATAGACGTACGAATTGAATTGAGCAGGGTGAATTATACATACTTTGCATATTCAACTGCCATGAACAGTTGCGGCGAACAGATTTTGTGAGATTTCCCGTACCTGTATGACGGCCATTAAGACCACCTAATTTCGTCCTCGAATGGCGTGAACAGTAGAAATCGCTACAGGTACCTTGATTGTATAGGAGCATGGTTGCACCATAAATTTAAGGAGATTGGATAGCCTACCACGAGTTTGACTGTTGAAGACATGGCCGGATGATTCAGGAAGTGCGTCAGATTGGACCACAAAAATGACTCCTTGAAGCAAAGCACATTTGTTTATCATTGGCCCGTAAACTGAGAAGTTCAATTCTGGGACATATCGTGGACTATAGTGTCCATTAAATTAAAACGTATCATTACTTATAATAACTTTTTAGGCTCGACATATGTACCAGTTGAAATTTTATTGGCCTATGAANTCCAATGGTAGTTTCGATTTATTGTAAAGAAAAAGGCAAATGTAAAGACAACTTTAAGACTGTTTTTTTTTTTTATTTTCTAAGGTTAACTAAAAAATAAATAAAGTTTAACCGAATATAATTTTAGATTATAATGTGATTACCAATTTGTACAGGCTAAAAACTATAGTTGCATGAACATTCAATAGTAAAAAGGCAATTGATGGAATCAGGATAAGATAGGTTATTTAAAAAAGAAGACAATCGTGTTTGTCATTTTAAAAAACAAATAAAGAAGTATGGAGATTGCTTGAAATCGAACCCAACCGATAATATAACATGTTATTTGAATTTGTGTGAATACTTTTGCTCTTTAAATGTAGCTTTATTTTGTAATTATAAAAGGTGTTGTAACGTATATGTATAAATATTTGAAAGGACATTTGACCCTGGGCACGTAGACCCAACTTGAGTAACAATTGGTAGCGAGATTTCAAAACAACAAATAATTAGCAAAAAAAATGTGTCATTTGGTTTTTTTAATGCATTTTTCGTGGAATAATTCGCACACTAAAAAAAAAATCAGTCGACCAGGTTTAATTCAAAACGAAATGTCATACAATAAAGTCGAAAACACATGCCACAAGAGTATAAAAACAACATAAGTTTTATGTCACGAACCCGACCCTACTACAACGATTAGCCATAAATGATTCATAACGAATAGGGGAAAAGTCGCAAGTTTTAAATGGGATTGAAAACTATGTTAAAACTTGTGGCAGCAAATTCAGGACTTCTGAATCTTGAAAGGCATCAATTCATCTGTTGGCCCGATAAGTGTGAAATTGCAGACAGCTTCTTGCCGTGTCCTTGAATCACATCAACTACATAGTTTACTTGGTTAAGCTGTAGGATTGCCTAGGAGAAGTCTCAAAGTAACCCTCGATATGTTCCCTCCAAAACTGCATTGGAATTGACCACGCACACGACAACACGACATGAGTGTCATGGCTACGTTTGAAATAAATAAAATAAACTATTGGGCTTGTGCAAGAATCTCGCCTGAAGTAGAAGTAGTTACTAAATGTGCTCGGTCGTCATGCGTTTTCTTTATTTCCAAATTGAAAGAATATTTCGGCAGCCTGCCCATATCGCTTGGTTCCAAGACATTGACCTTAAAATGAAAAAGGGTCTGGCATTTGAACTCCAAGACGCACTCCAGTGTAGTGTTTTCAACTTCCACAAAAGTATCCCACCCTTGTTGCAACATAGGGCTATCAACTACAAGGTTCAGATCTACGGCATATCGTCAGCCCTCAACTGTCTCGATAATGCATTGGTGTTGTAGCATGGCAGCAAAATGGTGTGCGATAGCTGCCGGTAATGGCTGCAAAAGAAAAAGTGGTTCATCATTGCTTCAAAAATTTTTTTGGTTTTNNGAACATATATAATCTAAATCACATTGACCCAAAACAGAGATTATATTTAGTAATAATCAAACAGGACACAGAAACCGTCAATGTAAGAACAGATCAGTGAGAAAGAAAATAAAAAAAATGCATTGATATGAGTGGAAAGATTATTGTTCTCATCACATATACAACATACACCATAGTGCATTAACTGTGTTGCATGTTACAATAAAGTTTAAACTGAAGGTAAGAGTAAGGGAAAAACTTGTACCATTGGTGTCATGTTTTGTTCGAGCGTGAACCTGAGGAATCTAAGGTCCTTTCTGGCATGGTAAAAGGCCTATTTTTTTTACATGAACAGCAAACAGTAAATTAAAATAGGTTGTGATACCAGGGTCGAAGGTTTGAGGCCTAAAGCCTAAAAAAAATAGCTAAAGAAACACAAAATACATCCATTTTTTTATACAATTGCAAACCTTCAATTGGACTTCATCAGGAACTGACGAACATAGTGTGTTATAGAATTGAAAATGCTCTAAAACATGTTATTTTTTATTTGTCAGCGAGGAGAAAACAAAATTGAGAATGGAGGAGGCACAAAATTGTAAAGCATAAATACGCAACTTACATGTACAACATTTGAAAAAATCTAAATCGGGTGTATCGTGCACTTTCAAAGTTGAAGTATATGCAAACCCTGCAGAAGGAACCAAAAGAGGTATCAATAGTACGAATGAAATTGTACGTAAAACATAGTTCAAAAAGAAACTGGCAGGTAAACTGTACAGTATCAGCACACCAAAATAATACATTCACAATTAGACGCTCATATCTGCACCTATAAAAGGCAACAATTTACATGGTCATGCTTGTTTTTGTTTTTATTCATAGTTATATGATGAGTTAAACAATTTGAAAAAATTATATTTTGCCTAAGATTGTTCAATAATTATGCAACATGTTTTTCTTAATTTAGACATATAAAGATTTATTAATTGGTCACTTTACACGCCGATATGCATAACCAATATAATAACGCTAGTGTTACTGCGTCCATTTAAAATTGGTAAAGCAAATTTGTTTGCTTTTAAACAAGTGAACAATGAAAGCTGTAGTTTTAATGGGGTTAATTTTTATTTCTAAGTGAAGTGTGAGAACTGAACAGTTGAAATCAAAGATTATTAAACTTGTAAAACAATCTGAAAAAAAAAATGGCAGCTGAGGTTGGGCTTCATAACGACAAAAGTAAGAGGCAGTAACAAAATTCTATATACCACGAAATATAGGCGATGTCGTTTGCAGCAAAAAATGAAAGCAATTGGGCCGGCAGAAATTTACATATGGCTGAGGTAAAAAAAACTTCTTTAAGTAGGCACTCCAAGATTGTAATGGTGATGTAGTGGCCAATGTCTATAAATCTGATCATCTGTCCCCTGAGAAAGCCAAAGTGAGAATGTAAAAAAAGTGAAAAAAATTTAGGATGCGTAGGGTTTGCTAGTGTTTATGTTAAACAAATGAACAAGTAATTTGTGAATAGTACACAGATAAAACTAATTTAAAGATGATTTTGCTAGGGAGACATTACCATTAGTTCGAACACAAAGTACATAGTACGCATGAGCTTAAAAATTGACAGTTATAGTGTACGTATCACGTCTTTGTAGGTCGACAAACTATGTGCATGAAGGCTCAGACTGAAGAATGGAAGTTGCAGCTCGAAGCACCTCTTTATACACTATATTTGGTGTTAAGTTGACCATTCCCACATCACCAAAAGGAGGTATTATAAGCATCTTCACTGCAGCAGCTTTTTTAGCACGGGACAGAGCTACGTAAAGTTGACCGTGGGAGAAAACTGGTTCCCTCAAATAGATCCCAACGTAGTCTAAGGTCTGCCCCTGGGCTTTATTAATTGTCATTGCAAAGCAAAGCCTTAGCGGAAATTGTGTACGTGTATATGGAACTGGGTATTGTTCGTCGGCGGCAGGTTCAAAGATTATTCTATGTATGAAGACATCTTTTCCAGAGAAATCCCCAACAGCTATTTGTGCGTGTATAACATTTTTGCTCATCTTTTTACAAACCAAACGGGTGCCATTACAGAGGCCTTCAGTAGGATCTAAATTTCGCAACAAAATTACTGGCGCATTAACCTTCAACTGAAGCTTATGTTCTGGCATTCCGCTTGGTCTTAAGGAATTGATTAAGTCACTATATTCGATAGCATGCGCCGGGTTTGCGACCTTATCAAAACTTGGGTATTCCACTAATTCGCCAGGAAAAGATGATATAAGTTTCCTGTTCACCTCATCCACAAAGACATTTTTGGTGGTTAGAATTGCTCGATTCACAGACATATTAGATGCATCTATGTTCACTATATCAGGATATACAGCTTCAATCAGTTCGTCCAATGAAGATTCACACAATGGATCAGGAAGTGCAATTGCTTCAGGTATTTTTATTAAATCATCATCAAATGTTTTTTCGTCGCCGTTACCAACCCTCAACAGAAAAGCTGTATAAAGAGGATCTAACCGGGCTCGCATGTTTTCCACGAGGTGGAGTTTTTCTAAATATGGCCAAACATAAGAGCTAGTAATGCATGCATCGATGGCATCTTTTCTAGTACCACGCTTAACAACCGGTAAAACCTGCCTAAAATCTCCGCCAAACACTATAACCTTCCTGCCAAAAAGATCATCATTACCACAGAGGTCTTGCAAAGCAAGATTAAGTGCTTCAATGGCATTTTTTTTCGCCATAGGCGCCTCATCCCAAATAATTATTTTGCTTTCTCTAATTAAACAACCGAGGCTGCTCTGCTTACTAATCTTGCATGTATTAAAGCTGGATAAATCAATTGGGATTTTAAATCTAGAATGAGCCGTCCTCCCCCCCGGCAATATGGACGCAGCAATTCCAGATGTTGCTGTTGCCAAAGCTATACCACCTGTAGAACGTATGGTCGCTAACAAAGATCGATAAAGAAATGATTTACCAGTTCCGCCAGGGCCATCAATAAAGAAGCAACCTTTTTTTTGGGTATGAATGCGTGCCATGATTATGTCATATGCATTCTTTTGTTCTTTATTTAGAAGCGAGACAGTATTTAGCTCTTCCTGTGAAACCACAATATTTCTTTCTGCAGTTATTTCTCTAGTGTTATGTTCACGTATGTATTCCTGATTTTTTGGCATAAGGTCATAGGCCTGCAAATTCTTACCCATCGATTCTAGGAAACCGTTAATTTGAACCAAGACCCTGTTCCTAATATCTTCTGCAGACATGTGGTCAGATATCTTAAAATCTTCGGACATAGCCCCCTCAAACTTAAGCCACAGGGCTTTAGGATTAGAGGGGCCAGAATATACCAACAAATTAGCAAATAATCGCCTCAACTCATAAGGCATTTGATACTCAGACGCTTCTTGTAAACACAATTCTTGGCTATTGTCATCCTCCAGCAAGCCGCGCAAGAGTGCTGCTTCTCGAAAAGTTGCAGCCATTTTTCCATTGTAAAGTCTCAGATCATTAAAGGATTTAGGACATCTTACTTTAGACAATAGGATCCTTAGATAATACCTTTCTCCCTCACTAACATGCACGGATACTAAGCGGCCTATAGAGTCTTGCCTCTCGCGAATTTTCCATCGTTTTTCAGTTTGCAACCAAACAAAATATTTTGGAAATTCTTCATACGTTAGGTTTAAAGATTGGGCACACTCGTCAACACGATTCATGTAAAAAAATTCGGTGAGCATAGTTTTTTTATTTTGAGGGTTATTAACCACTTGGTGTAACCTGTCCTTTTTCCTGAACGGTATACGCTGGTAATTTTCCAGGTGTATTTGTAAATGTATTACAGCTGGGTGAATTTCACCCATTGGAAACCGAAAAATCCGCCACGCAGCTTCTGGTGGAGAAACCCACCTCGCAGTTCTATATTGTTCAATTTCATCCATTTCACGAAGAGGGTCCCTAGCATCAACATGGAATGCAATCCTATCATGGCCCTTGCAAATGTATTTATAGATATATTTTACTGCTCGTATCGTAGAGCAAACTTCAACGTTAATGTGACAGTTAAACTTTGCAAGTAGATACGGGTTATATGGAATCACCCACCTATTGTCAAGTTCATGTCCCCTAACTTTCACGCAAACATTATTGGGCCTCCGCCTGTACCTAGGGTATGCATCGTCAACATGTGTAGTTTGATCACAAAATTCTTTTGGGTAATAGTTTTTGCATGTTTTTAGCTTTTTCATGCAGGGGTTTTCAGGGTTCATCTCGCCACAAGGGCCATGCAACATGTGCTTCACAACAAGAGCAAATAAATGTGCATTTTTTTGCTTATCTGGAATTTCAGCGCTAACAATTTTGTCATATTCATCAGGCGTGTACATTTTAAAGTTGGGTTGTAAAATGAGCAGGAAGTGTGCATGCGGCAAACCTCGCTTCTGAAATTCAATGGTATATGTGTATGCAGCCACCTCACCAAAGATGTTTCTTTTTAAAAGGTCATTTTTCAGCTCCTCCACTTTAGCCCTAAAAATTCTTGATATTAAATCAGGCCTATTCTGGGATTCATCAATTCCATGAAGCAATGTTTTTATTTCGGGCCAATTCGGATTACATGTCATTGTAAGAAAAATATCAGGCCTACCAAACTTTTGTACTAATGTCATTGCAGCCATGTATCTCCTTTTCATGTTCCTTGGACCACCTATAAAATCTGAGGGCAGGTAAATACGTTGGCCGACCATATTTGCATCTGTTTCCCCAGAGGCTAAACAATCCTCAATCCCCTGGAGAACCTCATTTCTTATTTCCGTTTGTTGTATCTTGTAAAAATCCAATCTTTGTGTCTCTATCTTAACATACATGTCCACAATATATTGTTGAAAGAGTCTTCCAAAGTGAAGCAAAAAGGAATCATCACAAGTCCGTACCTGGAGTTTATAACAGTAGTATTCTCTTGCAGACACAAAAGACAGGTCATCACCTTTGGTAACTGCAGCTGCAGCTGTATATGTGAAAAGTTATCAATCAGTACAAATAATTATTAAGGGCAATAGTAGTCGGGCTTCTGAAAAAGTATGAACTAACCAGATTCCTCCCTAAACAGTAAATCATCAGCGTCAATTGCGCCTGCTGGTGCAACTGAACGGACAGAGTTGCACCGCTGGTTCGGCCTTGAAGAAGCTTTGACCCCTAGCTTTTCTATCCCCTGATGCCAGCCCACCTGACCAAAAGGAAAAATAAGTGGGTACTGCAAGGGATCATAACATCCAAAATAATACTGGATGCTATGAGAACCTCCAGCCACACTGCTCACACGAATGTCCCTATGACTACGCTCTTCGTTGTCCTGTCCATCAACTATCAACACAGCAACTTCATGTTCACTTGGTTGATTATACACCCTTTGATCCAAACCAGGCACAGCACGCAACACTATTTCACAATCATCAAAATGGCGAATTTTTTCTAGGCCACGAAAGAACTTTGCGTAAGGATTGCTCTCCAGTACTTTCATAATTTTAATAGCTATAGTTTCAGTCATTTTTGGGCATGCCTGAAGCCGATTAGCAACTTCATGTTCAGTGTCATGAAAATAGAGCTGCAGATTTTTCGAAGACTCTAAATCATTTATGAAATGATACATCTGGCCCTGAATTCGAAATGTATAGATGCCTTTATTGCGTTGGCTAAGTTCTTTATCATATCTAACTCCCAATGACGTAAACGAAAACTGATTGTTTATTGTTCTTATGCAGTTCCTAAAGAGTTGGCCTTCATGTGTCTGCAAAAACAATAGGTCTTTCAAAATTGCAGGCAAAGAATGACTCACTAACCTTATCTTACCTTCAGCACAGCAAAACATAGGAGTTTCAAACTGCAATCTTATCGCACCACAGTGAATGCAGTCACGCTGGGCCCGTAGAGTGGAAGCAATAGAAGGCAAATTAAGGAGCATGCGACGGCCATCTTTCTTCCCATTGGCTACACGTTCAGAACATTTTAAGTAAAAAAAAAATATAAAAACCAATTGAACTAAACGAACTGCACCACCATATAAGACCAAAATATGAATAAATAAATAAAAACCTGAGCTATTAGCATTGGTAGATCTTCGTGACCGATCTGCAGATGAACAAGCAATAGATAACAAGAATTCTGAGGTGTAAATGGCTAAAGCGAAGTCACAGTCAAAAGCAAAAGAACGCAATCTACAAATAAAATATGCAAACCCCCACCCGCGACCGAACGTAAAGGAGCCACCAAAGGATTGGCAGATGAACCTAAACTTGAAAAAAATAAATCAACCAAGTAAGTGAAGAAGCCACAGAACAATACAACGCAAAGAATTAAATAACAAATAAAATACAGAGGCTAAAAATAGAAACAAAACACAAAAGAAGACCTGCGGTTTCTGCAACAGACAATGGTAGACTTGCCGCCTTATCATGGTACCTTAAATTTGGTCCATCCACTGCAGACGTATTTGACTGGCCCAATGAAGACTCACCTACACGCTGTTTTTTGGCCCTCCACCTCCGAAGAGAAGTTTGGCGTATGGTTTGTTCCGAGTCAGTTGACTGGCTGCAGAGTTGTTGATGTACAGGTTCCATTAAGCCGTCCTGTAACAAACAAGTTTTCTATAATAAAAGAACACAATGAATATGCATCAGCAATGGGTAAACAAAAAGAAAAAAAGAACATTTATTAATTATAATCTACTATGACGACAAACAGAGGAAAGTAAAAGGCCAAAAAAATGAATCAAAAGTAATGGCCATGTTGTTGCAAAACGAAATATATTCTCAGAAATAGAGTAAGTAATAATTAAATCAACATTACACTTACGACAACGAATATGTAATAAATTACACGAACAGTCATCAAGAACCACACAAAAGACACAGAAAGCTTCATACTAAATACACGCAGAGCAGATCTGAAGTACTGGCAAGGCCGGCAAGTAGATCATACGCAGGCAAAAATTAACAATATCGCCACATACAAAGAAAACAATAACTTTCTATCACAAACTAAACAAACACACGAGAAACACCCACCAACAATCATTTTAGTTTTTTTTATTTTTTTAAATGAAAAACTAAAAAATAGACCTATAAATGTCAGATATACAGGAAATTTAATGGTGACCCAACCATAAGATCAAACCCGAGTACATACGAATAAAGCAATAACTTTTAATCCCAAACTAAACAAACACACGACAAACGCGATACATACTCATTTTTTATTTTTATTTTTTTGGGTTTTTGAAAATGAACAAATAGAAATCTCCATATAAATGTCAGATATACAACAAATTTAAAGGTGCTCCCACCATAAGACGAAACCCGACTTACAATGTTTGACGCCTTCTTCGCAAAAGAACCAGGTAGAAAAAAGTCGCAATAAAAAAGCGCAACCCAAGACAGACCAACGAAACTGAAGCAAACGCCAAATCCCCCAGTCTCTTCAAGACGTGCCCAAAAGTAAATTGAAATACAGAGCAGCCAGATTTTAGGCGCAGCAAATCCACCGATGAGCGATAAAGATATGGCGTACATGATGCATCTCAGCAGATTTCCCTCTCTCCTCAATGGATAAAGTAAATGGTACATCTCAGCAGATAGCCCTCTCTCCTCAATGCATAAAGTAAATGGTAGTTTCGTAATTACAGAGGGGAAAAAGTTGAGGCATTATTAGAAAAATGCATAAAGTAAAGTGGCACTTTCGTAATTACTGGGGAAAAGTAAAGGCACTATTGGGTTGTAAAAATGCCACGTGTCAGCCAATAAAGGCCAATGCTAATTCCTTGCGCAACCCAAGACAGACCAACGAAACTGAAGCAAACGCCAAATCCCCCAGTCTCTTCAAGACGTGCCCAAAAGTAAATTGAAATACAGAGCAGCCAGATTTTAGGCGCAGCAAATCCACCGATGAGCGATAAAGATATGGCGTACATGATGCATCTCAGCAGATTTCCCTCTCTCCTCAATGGATAAAGTAAATGGTACATCTCAGCAGATAGCCCTCTCTCCTCAATGCATAAAGTAAATGGTAGTTTCCTAATTACAGAGGGGAAAAAGTTGAGGCATTATTAGAAAAATGCATAAAGTAAAGTGGCACTTTCGTAATTACTGGGGAAAAGTAAAGGCACTATTGGGTTGTAAAAATGCCACGTGTCAGCCAATAAAGGCCAATGCTAATTCCTTATATGTATTGGAGAGATAAAACATTATGCCACTTAAGAAATAGGTCCAATCTAAAAAATATATTCTTCAATGCAAATAAAACTAGACTGCTTTACCCTTAAGTCTATTTTAGACACAACTAATGATCTAGTTTCATTGCATTAGAGTGGATTTTGTTAATTTTACATAATTTTATTCACGTCATCCAAGACTTGGGTTTATTTACATACCACGTAAACAAGAGTAAACTCAATCTATTGTAGATGCTCTTATAATTGAACTGAATGCAATCTGAATTGGGCATTTCTAACTCATGTTCATTTATATTGGAACTCTACCAATATTCTTCTGTTTATTTTTTGAGTAAAATTTTATATTCAACTCGTTTGTTTAATCTTCGTGTTTGAATAATTTTGTAAAAATATTTATAAAATTGTATGATTAACTCGAGATTTGTTCGTTCAAACTCGAGCTCAACAATAAAAATAAAATTAAAATATTTTCATATTTTAGATTTTTTTTTATTAAAAAATTTAATACATATAAAAATAAGATAAAATTATATTATATTAATGTTTGTGAACATTATCGAAGTCCTTATCCTACTAAATGTGCTAAATTTTTTGTTCGAACTCGACTCAAATAACAAACGAACAAACTCTTGTCGAATACATATGAACTTTTGTCCGTGAATGTTCGGCTTATTAACAACCCTACCTCAAATAAAATTGTAGGGTGAGCAAAAGCCTAGGAAGAATTGAAACTGCAGTAACACCCATTTAAAAAAAAAAAAAAAATTATAGCAAAATTCTATTAGACGAGATAGATCATGTATTTCTTGTATAACTGCGTAATGATTAGACAGGCCATACATTCCCAACAAAGATGTATATTTATATTTTAAAATACTATACTTTTGTTTATTTATGTGGTTTTTAAGTGTCCGACATGTGAATTTGTCGAAAAAATTGTTAGAAAATTAGTTATAAAAATCTGGGTTTGACTCGGTTTTGACTGATATTTGATGCCTAAATATCTAATTCGGGTTGAATTAAATTATGTAGAAAATTTCTACGTTCCGACTAAATACTCGTTGTTTATTTATTTTTTCACATTAATTTACCGTGAATGAGAAATAAATGACTAAGTTAGACACTAATGGACACGTAAAACGTTAGTTTTGGGATTTGAATAGGTCAAAAGTCCTATCCCACATAGGACCCTTAAATAAGCTTAACTCTCTATATTATAATAAGAGAGCTAGAGATGTCACAACAACAACAAAGTTATGCGCCAAGCGTTGATGATGGTTTCGGCCACAAGAGCACGAGCCCGCGGGCTTGGCCTGACTTGGGCTCGACTCTATAATCTTTTTGTTGCAAATTTATTTGCAATCGTGGTCCAAATTGGATTTGCGCTAGAGTTTTGACCCAACCTATGTGACCTTTATTAGGTAAGTTGAACCTGGACATGTTACCTTCCACCTGAGTATTTCTTTGGTTATGATATGGATGGTTAGTTGAACCTGGACATGTTACCTTCCACCTGACCATTTCGGTGGTTATTATATGGATTGAAGGTGAGTTAACACTTGAAAATGCCTTGCCAATTTACTACCATCAGTGGGTTGTTACTGGTTGAGCCGTTACAAGCTTAAGAACATAGTCATCTCTCCCTTGTGTTGCAAGTCCGAAAAAATAGGACATGGTATAGAGCTTCATAAAACACTTAAAGAACATCATCTGCATTCTTATTTTCCAGAAAAGCGTCTCGCACCATTTATACATTATTTAGTTCACGACTCTGTTCTAGTTCGTCGGAGCTCTAAAGTCTGGTGTGTAACAGCTTCAGGGACGATTGTTGTTGTATCTTTGTGGACAAGACGAACATACTCGTCAACACTACACGAGCAGTATTTGTCTTGCAGAAAGAGATATTCTTGCCCCGGCTATACTCTTCCCGTTTTCGGTTCCATTGTATTTTTCTGTTTATTAGTTCAAGTTGTAAAAACTGAACACCTCAATTCCTAGAATCTCATTGTAATTCACTGTTTGTAAAAAAAAAAAAAAAAAAAAAAANAAAAAAAAAAAAAAAAAAAAATGTATACCTAGACAACCTAAGTACCTAACAACATTATCCAGTAAGGTCAACAACACAACCATCATTTGCATCTCACAAACTTTACAGTTAGTCTGTCTATTAGGCAGATCGGTGCTGTAAAAAACGAATACTTGTATTATGAAATACAATACATTTGTTTGGGTTAAAATACTTGTCAACACATATGCATGTCACTTGATTGAGCAAATATGCGTGCTTGATAGTTAGTTTTGCTCAACAATTTTAGTATTTTTGTACAAATGCCCAAACAACAATGAAAACGGTCCAAGAGATCAAATTGTTTCTTTCACAGGTGGAGGAGGATTTACAGCCATGCAAACACAAAAAAAAGGCAATCCAGCTGTAGTATTTTAGTATCGTTGCACATAACTCGTTTCTCCTCAACGGTAATCTAACGATAAATATTTAGACACATCAAAAAACTCTGGATCACACCTACAAGAAAATATCAATGTCTGACATCGGCTGATTTTCTCTCCAACCAAAATGAATTACAGTTCACTTTCTTCCCCTCCCTAAGGAGATCTGAAAGCTTCACCAGCATAACGGACGTTTCCCAGTTCCTCTTCAATGCGCAGAAGCTGCAACATATAAAACAGGGTTAGCCCTAACATGCAATGCTAATTAAGGGTGTTAATAATTCCACGGTCATTCTTGTATGTTACCTGATTGTACTTGGCCAACCGCTCACTTCTGCAAGGAGCTCCTGTCTTGATCTGCATATATTTTATGAATAAAAATATAGTTTTAGATGAATCCAAGTTAATATAAAATAGACAAGGGTTAAATGATGAAACAGAGAGAAAGAGAGAGAGAGAGAGAGAGAGAGACCTGTCCACTGGCTAAGCCGACGGAGAGATCTGCAATGAAGTTGTCTTCTGTCTCACCACTACGGTGACTAACCATCACACCCCATCCAGCGGCTTTTGAGTCGAGTGCTGCTTGAATCGATTCACTCACTGTACCAATTTGGTTAACCTGCAAGTTTTTTATTAAGTACAGGAAAGTGGGGAGAGTGAGCATATCCGCATAAAAGCCACACGCGTGAATATATGAGAGGGAACACAAAAAATGCAGACCAAAATTGGGAAATTCATTGCTAGCGTCTCTCTCGATCAATATTAAAGGAATTTTGAGTGTTGTATCCGTTCAATAAGTAGGCTTGGAGCAGATAAGTAACTGTTACTGTCATGCGAAATTTCAAGCGTTCTCCAAAAAGTCTAGGAAAAAAAAGGCTAAAATAACAGACCACAGTTAAACCACACACAATTGTAAAAAAAAAAAAACATATTAGCAAAAATATATTCACCATGAGAATTATTAAGCAAGCACATACAAAATCTCTTTAAACTAAAGGGCGAATAAGGCACCTTCAGCAGCAAAGCATTGCATGCTTTCTTCTGAATAGCTTCTGCTATTCTTTTCGGATTAGTGACTAACAGGTCATCACCCACGAGCTGGATACCAACAGAGGACTGCAGTGATGACCATGAACCCCAGTCATCTTGGTCAAAAGGATCCTCAATTGATACAATGGGGAAATCTCTCACAAATTCTTTATATAAATCACCAAGGCTTTGAGCTGTCAGCACGTGAGCACCATCATTTGGTTGATTCTTGAAATTGAGGTCATATTTCCCCTCTTTTGTTAAGAACTCAGAAGCAGCAACGTCCATCCCTATTTTGATCTGGACCAATTACCCGACACAAAAATTGTTGAGAAGCAATGCAGCAAAAATAGACCAAAAAAAAAAAAGGTCAGAACTTGTGGCAGATGTCTTATTGGATGGATACCTCCCTAAGAGAAAATTTAGTTTTACAGTTCTTCAGAGAGTTCTTTCTGTTTCATATTCTTGAAGTTTTTTCCGAGGTTATTAAGTCTAACTTTTTAGTTTTTTACCCAGTTTGGATTATTATATGATTGACATATTATAATTATTCAAAACATATAATAAAATCCTATTTAGTTTTCTCCAGATAACTCCATCCACTCCACTGCATTCTAGTATTCTTTTTTTTCAACTAAGATTTAAGTTTCAATTTACGGAGATTCAGAAGTGTGCCTCAAAAAGCAATAACTATACCTTGCCTGTGTACCCTGCCTTTTCAATTGCATCCATGAGCAGCACCAATCCTTCCCTATTATCCTGCACATTGGGAGCAAATCCACCTTCATCTCCAACATTGCACGCGTCTTGGCCATATTTTGATTTAATAATTCCCTTCAGAGTATGATATACTGCACCACCAAATAAAGCCCAATAAGTACAACTATCCCAATTTTCATAATTGTCAACCGGTGCACTTTAACAAGTTACAGTGTCTGGTGGCAACTTTACAGAAGACAAATTTATGCGACGCGAATCTGACCAAATGACAATTACATATTCCATACACCAATAGAAAAGTAATCAACTTCACTAACTTTCACTGCCCATCTGGAGTGCCTCGAAGAACGAGGAAGCTCCTACAGGCAATATCATGAACTCTTGCATGGCCAAGTTGTTCCCAGCATGACTGCCTCCATTAATCACATTGAATGCTGGGACTGGCATAACAAGCTCTTTCGTGTTTGATATTTCCTGTATGTGCTGGTAAAGTGGCACTCCTTTCGCTCCTGCACCAGCTCGGCACACGCTAAGAGAAACTCCTAAAATAGCATTAGCCCCAAGTTTTGATTTATTCGGAGTCCCGTCAATCTCCAGCATAACAGCATCGACATCATTTTGATTTCTGTTAATGGAAAGAAAAAAGCAATCGGGTCATTGCAAAAGTAGCCAATGGCCACAATTTACGAAATTTTTCAAATCTGGCGCACAAACAAAGTGGTGTAAACACATTGTTTTGCCGTAACTTATTTTCCAAATTGCTACATGTAGAAAACTATCTACAATGCACACCACACTCGCACTTCTTTAACTCTTATACGAAACTCTACATACTGTGATGCTTGTTGAATCATTTTTTTTTTTTTCTGTTTTTTACTTTCTTTCGTTTTTCATGTAGAGTGGAAAGGCTAATTCATGAGCTTTTCATTATACTTACAATTGGGCAGTTCCTCCAATCAATGTTCACAAACACACATGACATAAGTTCTTAAGATAAACATACGTGTTACACCAGTTGGAAGAGTTATCCATGGCCTCCAAAATCTCGAGAAATATAACGCAGAATATAAATCGAACTCTATCCAAGCAGTATTACTGTCAGAAGCCAAGCTACAAAACCTTACTACACAGGAAATAAGCAGACTCCTAACTCCGAATCATATAGCACCAATTACATTCAGACATTTGCAGCATTCACATTCCGAAGCACACAAGTCCTAACACGTTCGAAAACATGACGATTAAAGTTTAAAAAACACGTTTAACACATTTAAAACTCATTTTCCACTGGAGTACCTGACATCGATGCCAACGAGCTTGGGACCCAACAAATCATTAATATTCTTAACCGCGTTGAGGACCCCTTTGCCCCCATACACGCTCTTGTCGCCGTCCCTGAGCTCGAGCGCCTCGTAGATCCCGGTGGAGGCCCCACTTGGAACGGCCGACCGATGGAGGCCACCGTCCTCCGTGATCAGATCGACCTCCACCGTCGGGTTGCCCCTGCTGTCCACAATCTGTCGCGCCTTAAGCTGCTTGACCCTGGCCGAGGCCTTGGCGGCGACGGCGGAGGAAGGCGACGCCGCCACGGAGCTTCGGACGGTGAAAGGCGCGGACTTAATCTTCTGGGCTGAGGGGGCTGAGACGAGGAGATTTCGGGAGGTGGGTCTGGTGGAAAAAAATGGTTTTAATAGCTGAGCCGGAGTCAACGACATTGATGGACGTTTATTCTTTTTCTTTGAGTGTGTATGAGAGAGAGAGCAAATGGAGAAGGTGGCGGAGACAGAAAGGGTTCGATTACAAAATCGGAATATATGAAGATAAAAATCAGCAGCTTCTGTAGGGAAGTTCGCCGAGGGGAATGGAGACGAAGGGTACTTTGGTGTGAGAGTCGGTTGTTGAAAACGGCATTTGGTGGTGGTTGTTGGGAGTCTACACGGCGGCGGGGCGTTAAGAACTAGGTGGTGGGTGGTTTGGGGTGCATTTGTGATTTTGAGTAATTTATGGGCGTTTGTGAAAAATATATCGTTCTATCTATTTTATAAACAAATCATAGTATCTGCTTGAAGTGTAATTTGAGTAAAATTTCAAATGTGTCTCTAATCCTCCATTTTAGCAGTAGCCCTTTCTCTATCGCTGTCTGCCTCCTCCCAAAGGGGAATTTCGCGCGACAGTGTTGTGGTTGTCGTAAGTCAGGGCCTCCAACCTTTCGTCGAGGTGGGATTTCGCGGTCGATTGGTGCTTTTTCGAACTGCGATGCTCTGGCGGGACTTTGAAGGCGCGAGGTTTTCTGACGTCTTGATGGCGGGGCTGGGCGGCTTGCTTCTCCTTCTGTTGAGCGGAGGTCGGAGTAGAGGTGAGTTTCCTTCTCCTCGTTGTCTTGCTTACCTGGGGTTGGTAGGTTTGTCTCTACCGGTAGTGGTTGGCCATCGTCGGTGGCTGCTCGACTGTAGCCGTCGATGGTTGTCGAGGGGGTTTGAGCTGGGGCTTCAGTGGTGACATGCTCCCTCTCGGGTTTTGTCATTGTCTTTGGGGTTGGGAGATGGGCTGCACCGGTGGTGATGGTCGAGGGCTTTGGTTGCCGGTTGGCTTCAGGTCATCGGTCAGAGGGGGTTGTGTGAGTTTGGGGTTGACTTCTATTTGACTGGTTCGTGGGTGACTACCTAGGAGAGTTCTTGGGGCAGTAGTATCGGATCTTGTTAGGCGTTTTCTGCAGTTTCAGGTCTCTGTGCTTTGGCTCGGTCTTCTGTCATTTTGGGTGGGGAGCTCCCAGTGGTGGTGGCGGGGTTTCACGGATCTTGATTTCCTATTGCGGAGGAGGGCTCTAGTATGTGTTTTTGTTTTTGTTGTTGTTGTTGTGTTGTTCGTGTGTTTTGTTGGTCACCTACTCTGTTGATTGGCGCTTAAGAAGTCAGTGATTGCCCCCGATTGGGTTTCGACTCCTAACTGGTTGCCAATTAAGGTGATGTCGGCCGACTATCTAAGTGTTGTGGCGGAGTGGATTTGTAGTGCATTTTTGTGTTTGGTGTGGGTTGTTTTTACTTTGTTGTGTGTTTTTATGTTTGTTGTTTCTCCCATTGGGGAGTGTATATTCGTCCGTATGGGAGTTTTTTATTCTCCAATTGTGGAGCTTCTTAGTTTAGCATAGCAGCTTTTTTGTGCGTGAGTTGTGCGCTATTTTTAGCTTCTAGACGATCTTCGGATTTGTCCTCCAGCTAGACTCGGCTCATGAATTGTCTTATTTAGCTATCGAATTGTTATCTAGTTGTAATTATATGTTTTTCTTATATAAAATTTCTATCGTTCAGACAAAAAATAAATATGGCTTTTTTTATTGTTTTGAAAATTGAAGCACAAATATATAATTAGGGTAAATAATAATTTGCAACCTATACTATACGCGAATTTGGGATAAATAATTTTTTGTACTAAATTGCAACCTTTAATACACGATTTGTCTATATCGCAACCTCCGGCCATCGGCGGCCCATTTTCCACCGGAAAAGCAAGTGTGCGACACACATGTACCAAATTTGAGGGCTAAAATGTCATTTAATTCCTCTTCCTCCTTCCTCTTTCATCCTCTCTCTCTCACACTCTCTCTCTCACTCTCGCACACACATTCAAATCAAAAATTGAATTCCACGGCGAGATAATAGGGTTCCTCAATCAGGAGGCCCATGTAGTCATCATAGAGGCCCGTGAAATTTGCGCCTTTTGATGTGATAAGAAACATGAACCTGTCAACGGCAAAAGAGAAAAGGCACGAAATAGAGGCGGTGAAGCCAGCGGGAGGAAGGTGAAGTACTTCTCCTTTGACAGGGCGATGGAGGCGGCGTTCAAGAAAGTGCCGCCGTAGAGAGTGATGCTGCTGGACGGAAATATGGGGGCTGCGAGAAAGAAGATGAACAGAGCAAAGAGAAATTTCGAACACATCTTGGAAATTTCGATTGCTTTCTTCTACAGATCTGAGGCAATAATTTCGACAAATGATGAACAGAGCAAAGAGAAATTTCGAATACATCTTGAAAATTCGATTGCTTTCTTCTTCATATCTGAGGTAATAATATCGACAAATATGTCCAGATTGAAGTCGAATTTCACTGCTGAGACTCCGCCAGCAATAAAATAGGGCTTCTTTTACCAGGCACTGCGGCGGATGGCGGTCCTGCAGTTCCCTTGATTTTGACTATGTATGTGGGAGTGTGTGTGAGAGATAGGATGAAAGAAGAAGGATGAAGAGAGATGAAATGACATTTTTGCCCTTAAATTTGGTACGTGTGTGTGTCGCACGCTTGCTTTTCCGGTGAAAAATGAACCTCCGATGGCCGGAGGTTGCGATATAGACAAATCGTGTATTAAAGGTTGCAATTTAGTACAACAAATTCTTTAGGTTGCAAACTCCAAATTCGCGTATAGTACAGGTTGCAAATTATTATTTACCCATATAATTAATTAAAGAAGAACAATTTCCAGAACGTAGAAAGCCTCGTCTTCTTCCTCGGCAAAAATAAAAAAATCCCCAAATCTTAAACTAGCCCTCACCACTTTGTTATAGTTATTTTTATCAAAGTCAAATAAAAAAAAAATTCAATCCCTGGGTCGTATAAAAAAAATCACCAAGTCGTATTGTTAAGACTGACAACTCAAAACTCAATTCTCCATCAAGCCCAACATACAAGCTCAAATGGGGTTCCATTCTAAAACCAATTGGCAATAGAAGGAGTACCCCACCAAGATTATATATTGGACTTGGAACCTTTAATTTTTCAATGTGGAATTGGGTTTGCACACCCTACAAACCTCCCCTCAAGCACAAGACCACATTGAGCCTCCCCTTGAACGAAATTCATACGATCCGACCATTTTGTACTGCCGTTATCACCCACGGAACCCGCCGCCTGACCACCCTTTCGCCAGGAAGACTTCGACATAAGGCACACGGATCCACCAGCCGTCCACCGGCTCCACGGGAACATGGCACGTCATCCACATCGCAACTGTGCTACCAACCGTGGCTCTGATACCAATTGTTAGGACCGACAGCTCAAAACCCAGTTCTCCATCAAGCCCAACATACAAGCCCAAATGGGGTTCCATTCTAAAACCAATTGGCAATAGAATGAATAGCCCACCAAGCTTATATATTGAACTTGGAACCTTTAAATTTCTGATGTGGGATTGGGTTTGCACACTCACAAGGATGGCATGTCGGATTACTTCGCACGCTTATTCAAGCACAAGAAGAGAAAATAAACTCTTAAACACTCCAATCAGAGAGGTTGGGTTTTGATTAGCATCTAATGAATTTTAAAACCGCAAAACTCAAATTTCAACTTGTAAACAACATTCAAATATTGATAAAGGAGCTAGAGAGTCGGGGATAATCGTTCTTAATTTCACGTAAATATCAAACATTTCGAATTTTTGGTTTAGAGATTCTATTAGCCTACACGTCTAGAGATTTACTCTCAATAACTATTCATAACAAGAGGATAAATATAAATGATAAATATAACTATTCTTAGTTGCACGGAATGCCCGATATGCCCCAAATTCTACAAGTACATGTATGTCTCTCAAGGTTTACAACAAGCTTTTCATGGCGGCGTGATACCTCAAATTAAGATAGACCTCAGAAAATCTTCACATGGAATTGTTGCCCATATTTTGCTATCCATAATTAAAGCATTAGCTTTCTTGGGACAACTGGACATATTGCAAAGTGTTTATTCCTCATTTTTTTCACCCTTTTCAAACATCTTTCTCATTCTTTGAGTATGTATACCTCAATTAATGAAATAATTCCACCACCACGATATTTTAGAATTGAACTATTGAAACACTCAACTATGTTGCTCGTTGCAGTGTTCTTGACATGTGATTGAAATCCTTCTTTGCTCCACCTCTCCATACCAATTTTAGTTAAACGTTTCCAAGCGTCAAAACAAATCTGTTGCATTTGATTCATTTGAATATCGTAGTCAATGATGGTGGTGGCATTTACTGCTGTCCGAAAGATATTTCCAGCCTTTCTATCCTTCAATTTCTTTTGAAAATTTTGAACAAATGCAAAACACATAACATGTTATATTTTGATGGATATGTTGGGATCTGTGAGGATCTCGTTATGTACAAGTCACGAATTCAACAGCAAACGAAAACCTATGCGCAGCGGATCTAAAGGTTTGACATAGAAAACTTACGGCTTAAAATTTATGTAGATCTGGTTGACCACGAACGATTGACTGCAAATCACGTCTTGTATTGAGAAAGATATTAATTGGAGCCCTCAACTGAAAATACATAAAATTTGAGATCTTGTATTGAGAAAGATATTAATTGGAGCCTTAACATGATAGAATACTTAAAATTTGAGCCCACTAATGGATTTTTCCTTAAAATAAAATAGTAGATTTAGGATAATTATTTTATTTATATTACATGAAATATAAATTTTAGGGAGATGCTACGATCCTGTTACAGAACCATTCCGTCGGGTTTGTAACGGTTAGATCAACTATACCCGACGGTTACATGATGATCTAGTGGTTACAAACCCCAACGGAATGGTTCCGTAACGGGATCGTAGCATTTCCCTAAATTTTAAACACATTATTCACCGTTTACTAAAATTAATATCATTTCTCTATTTACAAAAATAAAAAAGCTAGTAGCTTTAAATTGTCAAAATTACAAAATTACGTTTATTTTGCAATTGAACCAAAAGATAATTTGGTTTTGCGCTTTTGATTGCATTATCTATACTAATATAACAAGTTTGTTGGTAAAATCATTTTTAGTAACTTTGACCAAGAAGATAAATGAGTTGACTTACTATTGTAAGAAATTTTGAAAAAACACATGTATATCTTTAGTAACAAAATCTAAATCTCATTTTTTTGTAATAAATTTGGAGATTCTTATGCCAAAATCTAAATCCTATTTTTTTTTTTGTATCATTTTCTATTTTTTTACAATCTGAATCCGATTTTTTTGGTGACAAGTTTGGAGATTCACGAAAACAAATTCAAATACAAATTAATTTAAAAACCGTGCAAACTGAATACAAATTTAGGAAATAAATAGTTGTATAATTCTTAACAAATTCTTTCAATATTTTTGAATAATTTTTTCTTTAAAAAAATGTGTGCAAATTGGATAAAACCACGTGCAATTTTTATTTTAAAACAAAATTAAAATTTGAACGGGATATACATTCAAAATCGTATGCACCTTTGGTAACAAAATCAGTTCATCTTTGACATTTAAAATCAAACCTTATCCAATTATTTAGGAAAAAAATCAAATCAAATCATGTGCAACTTTTTAAAATTTGAATGAACCGATGTTTTTGGATTCTTATGTTTTTCTTAACCATGTTTTACCGAGAAACAGTTGCATAAATCTTAACAAAATATTCCGATCTTTTATTAGAATTAATTTCAATTCAATTTGTTTAGTAAAAAAAATTGCTGCAATGTTACAAAAATTTGATTCCATTTTTAGGAAAAATTGATGAATTTTTTTTCACTTTGTTTTAACCAAACATTTGGATCAATTTGTTTGAAAAAAAATCAGTGTATTGGTATGAAAATTTGGTTGAATTTTTAGGAAAAACAAATGATTCTTTTCAATTTTACTTAATCAAAATTATGAACTAGAATTAAAAAAAAATGGTGAAAAAACCCTAAAAATCTCTACTTTCTTTATACTATAATTTTGTTTAATAAATAAGATCCCTTATTTTTTTAAATATAATTTGTTAATTAATAACTAATAATACATAACTTTAAATAAAATTCGAGTACTCATATAGTATTTACGTTCCAAAGAATCAAACTAAAAATTGTTATACATAAGAAAGTGGTTAATAATATATAAATTTTATTTTTATGATATTTTTATTGTCATAACAATTTAAATACAAAAAGTACATTTCAAAAATAAAGTAGGTAATAATGCTCCCCGTGCATCGCACGGGTACTGTAAGAAAAAAATTGATGACTATAATCCAACGGCTCATTCTGAAAAGCAACAGATATGTCACATGCGCCGTGTTAGGGTCACTCATCACTGTACAGCTTACACCCGCTTCCGCTAAAACCCCCCAAAACCTCCCCAAAGCCTTTCATGGTTTAAGCCGAGCAGGAGAAAAAAGTAGTGAAAATGGCAACTTCAAGGCTGTTCACTCTCCTCGGACCCTCATTTCTTCGCAGCTCGCGCAGCTGTCCTCAAGTTCCATCCTTGAATTTCAACAGAAGCTGCCTCACCCCTTCCCTGCGGTTCGAGCGGTACAGTTCCTCAGCGTTGGCGCTCGATTCCGGTTCTTCTACACTCAGTGATGCCCCTCCTCCTGCGGTTCTTGCTCACCCGTGGCCCGAATGGGTTAACTTTGTCGACCGATTGAAGGCCAAGGGCTACCTGACTCAAAATGGCGCCGTTTCCGATCATGGAGGTGGCGGCGGTGGCATCAGTGATGGTGAAGGGCTTTTCGATTATACGGATATGAAGTTGGTTAAAGACGCATGCTTGAGCTTTGGGCGTGATCGTTATGACATTTTCAAGTATTTGCACTCTCAACTTGTTCTTTCTGTGGCTTTTTTTAGTTACTTGTATTCTCTGTTTGTTGAGTTCTTCAAATGAGTAGCGTGTTAAAGAGGTTTAATTTAGTTTATGCATATGTTCTGTTTTTCGTTTGACCCTTTTTGTATTTAGGCTGAGCCCGTTATCAAATCTATCATCGATTATCTTAGAATAATACTAGTTGCTAGACAATATTGTTTTTCTGAGGTGAAGTCTGTTAAATTTTGGGACTTTAGACAGGCCGCGGTGTAATTTCAGCTGCCAGAACTGAGAATGTTTAAGTTAATATCTGCTGGGATATTTGAAACAATATTATATCTTTAGATTTTCATATAATCAATGTTCAGAAAAGGACCCAGAGATATTTATAGTCACTCCAAACAGTTGAGGGAAAGTTTATAAATTTTTGAAGTAAGTATTATGATGTATAAGCTAGTTGAGTTTGATAGTTTAATTCTGCAAGGGGAAGGTTATGAATGACATGTCGAGATGACAGGCTTAGTGAGGTTTGGAAATTCATATGATTCTTTGTTTGATGTTACAGGTCGTTATCCAGCCAAGACATACAAATAATCGTTGAGAAGGGCTGTCCGAATCTTTTCAGAAAGGCAGTTAATTCAGCAAAGAGGCTGAGAGCTTATCTTGACCTCGATGAAGGAGATGTAAGTAGCTGGTGAAACGTATGTTATAATTGCTAACTAGTGAAGTAAATGACCTCATTTTGTACAACATGCTGATTTGTCGTTTTGTTTGATTAACAACAGGTTTGCAGTTCTTGCAATCTGCGTGGATCATGTGACAGAGCATATGTCATTCTAAACGACTCTGAAGCTGCGGTGCCACGTACAGTAGATGTAGTTCGTATCTTATTGCTCTATGCATTGGACCCTGTTGTTATTTCTGGTGAAAATAAGCCTTCAAGTCCAGGTAGAGAGCTTCTTGAATCATCCGTGAAGAAGTTGCTGTCTCAGTTGATCGAGCTGGGTGATACACATCGTGATCCAGATCTTCCAAAACCTGCTACTGTCACTTCTCAAAGGAAGAAGCAGCCTAATGATTTACCAGTCAATATAAGCTCAAAACATGTTGAAATGAAGAGTGGAGATTGGGTGTGCAAGAAGTAAGCGATACAGCTTGCTGTATATTTTTGTTATTCTTGATTTTGTTTCATTATGTTTATTTTTGTTACCGTATTGTTAATTTTTCTAGTCGAACTGTTTGGTTGGCTTAGTTGCATTAGCATATACATTCCCCTAAATTCAGATTTGTTGTTGCACATGTTTGCCTTATTCACTTGGTTATTTAGTAGAATTTCATCAGTGAGTTTGCCTATATGGTATTTGGTGAACAAGTTTACAATACACTTGATGCTTAATATCCATTCCAAAGAACTGCATCTGTCAGTACCTGATCAATTAGATACAAAAATGTTCTCATTCCTTTTCTTACTTACTGGATCATCAATATGGTTGTTAGGTGCTTCATAAACTTGACAGTAATGTAATCGTGGAAAAAGCCCCAAAAGTCTTGATTTTGCGTGCAACAAATTATTGCAGGTGCAACTTTTTGAATTTTGCCAGAAATACACGATGTCGACAATGTGACCTAGAGGTAAACAAGGGCGTACCCAATGCTGAAACTAAAATGAAAAAAGGAGACTGGAACTGCCCAAGGTAAGTTAACAAAATTTGTGCTTTTATTGATTTATGGAAGTTGTTGATGGTTTAATTACACAATCTCGTCGCATTTGGTTTTATTTTTTATTATTTTTCATACGAATTGGATGTAGACAGTAACTCCATGTTTTGACCACTTCATTTCTGGAGCTTGATCATTTTGTTTGTATCTCCTGCAAATTAGCCATCACTAATAAAAAACTATATTGGGATTGGAGATATTCTTTTTAACCAAAACACGACATTGCACCTAATAGAGCATGCCAAAAACAAAAGATTTCTTATCTAAAGTAATTCCAGCAGAAAACCAAATAGTGTGTATTGTAAACATCCAATATTCAGGAAGATGTAAATATCATTATAACATACATTATTATGATGTTGCGAATTAAACGCATGTTTCTTGGATATTATATCTGCTGATATGATTGTCTAAAATTCTCTGATTTTTCTGTCTGCTGGCTTTTTTGTTCCTTTCAGTTGTTCGTTCATGAATTTTGCAAGCAAGAGGCAGTGCTTACGCTGTCAAGCGCCTCGCCCTCAGAGGCAGCTGAAGGAGGGGGATTGGGAGTGCCCCGAGTAAGTCCACTGACCTGGGTTTCTCTGGCTGCTCTTGCAAAATAAGTTCTATTCTTGACAGATAAAATCCTTATACGTATTAATAAAAATATCACATTTTCTGTCATACTTGCAGCTGCGATTTCATGAATTTCAGCAGGAATGCCACCTGCAAGAAATGCAATCACAAAAGGCCTGTGGAGAACGCCGTGGACCGGGGAACCTGGAAGAAGCCTTATTAAGTTGCCTAATCTCTAATAAGTAAACCCTTTTTAAGTTGACATGAAACTGCGTTTTCCATGAATATTGAATTATATTTGNATGCAATGCATCATCCATGCCTGTTGCTGAGTGTTTCGACTTTTTATATTTGTAAAAAGCAAAACACAGGAAATTTCCATTTGCTGGCCACATATGAAGTTTCTACTTATACACTGCAATTTTCAAGACTTTATTTAACAACAACTCCTGATAATCATGTCAGAACTGTAGAAAAAAATATAGCACAAATACATGAACGAAAACATTGCAAGAATGTCAGTTTCTCAAGCAAAACCCACAAGGTAAAAGGTTTCTTCTTTTTTTTCTTCGTTTATTAGTAGAAGTATTTTCCTTCCATTAATTATGTTTAAATCCTCCACAAATCAAATGAACGAAATGTATGTGCCATGTTGTAGCTAGTTGATGTACGGATTATTCTTGTTAGTATAACGGCAGTTGCGCCGAATCTCCCCTTGCTTCCCTGTCAACACCTTGAGACTGCTCATTCTAGTGACTGACAATGCAAATGCCCTTTTAAACTGCTCCATGCTCCCGGCATACTCGAGCGCCAATTGAGACGTGTTGTAGTTGTACAGTAGCCCTTGGTCCACCCCTAGTACCGAATCAAATGATAGAACATTAGAGTAGTATTTGTTTGTGAATCTGTACTGAGCTCCGCTTTGACTGGTCAAGAACACGGTTGGATCTTTGTTCCTTAGTGTTTGTGGGCATTGTTGCCTCAGGTTGTCGAGCGTGGCTCGGCTCATGCTTGGATCGGGTTTTCCGGTCTTGTTGAAGTTGTAAAGCCGGTCGTTTACGTACCTGCAGTGTGTTTTCCCTAAGGTATGTGAACCTGATAATTATGAGGAGAGCTCTTTTAGGTTCGAGCAGTAAAACAAGCTGTTTGTTTTGACATAGAAATTTATGGCGGTGTATTCGTTTGGGATTTTGAGTGACATAGAAATTTATGGCGGTGTATTTAATTAGCATTTTTAAGGATTTTTTTAAGACTTTAGAAATCCTGGTGTATTCAATTTAGATTTGTTAAGACTTTTTAAAACTTTTAAAAATCCTGGGGTATTCAATTGGGATTTTCAAAAGTCTTACAAAATCCTGAGGTATTTAATTTTTTTGACACTAGGATTTATTAAGCCTTTTTAAGATTTTGTGGGATTTCTAAACAAAAAACCTTATATGAAATCCCACTTCAAATCCTACCTCCGGACTTGAGATTTCATAGAATTCTTCCAAAATCTGAAAATCCTAGAAAGTCTCAAATCTCAAAAAGTTTTAAAATGTCAATTAAATTCCGAATTGAATACACCCCCCTTAAGTCTGGAGGTGAGATTTGAAGTTGGATTTCGTATAAGGTTTTTTCTTTTGAAATCCAACAAACCTTAAAAATCTTAACAAATCATAGTCTCAAATAAGTTAAATATCCTAGGATTTTGTATGACTCTTTAAAATCTCAAATGAGTACCCGAAAACTTTTAAAAGTCTTAAAAAAGTCTAATAAATTAAATATATCAGGATTTCTAATTAAGAGATTGACCTAGAAGTGTAGCATAATCTTGTGAATCCAAGCCCTTAGATTGGAAGTAAGCCAAGCCTTGTGTCACAGAAATTGAAGGCAATGGGAGATCAACCCAGGATGCTTTTGAGTCCATTCCATCTCTTCTTCCCAACAGCACTGGGTAAGATGGTGCACCTGCCTGCTCAAACACCAATATCTATTTTAAGAATTTTGAAAAGATGTGATATAAATATTAAATAGTACTTCATAATCATTTACATACAATGTTAAATCTTTTAAAATAATTGTTCTACTAGGTTTGGGGTGAAATAAAACGATGAAGTAGCTACGATTTGCTTGTAATTAATTAAAAAGAAAAAAAAATTAAGATTTTCTTGTCTCGTTAGTTAATATTTATGTCACTGAAATGAAAATGAAACATTTCTCTTTCTTTTTTTTTTTTCTTTTTTTTTTTTTTTTT